TTTACCGGTTTACAATATGCCATAGTCGACTGGCCAAACATTCAACTCTGTGCGGAGCACGGGTATTTGCTAGTTAAATAATAATAGCTTTCTGGAGGCGAGAGAGGCGAGATACTGACAGAACACGGCCGGGAAGATAGCTGAGTGGAGTAGAAGAAGAAGGAGAATGATCGACGCACAATGAAGGCAAAGACGAGGACGGGGAGGGGGGTGAAGTGGGAGTTTTCCACCCTACAGCCTAGGGCGCTCTCCCATGTATAAAAACAAGTATACAGACAAGAATTTTTCAGAGAAATCCATGCTCAGATACCCCATAACCATATTAAATGCATATTTGTTACAAAATATGACTCATTTGGTGAGATATTGCGCATGCGCTAATGCACTACCATAGTCAAATTGTGTACTAACTGGTATATGCACGGGTACCTTACATGCAAGGACTTCTTCCTATTTCTCAAGAAAGGACTACTGATGAGGTTTTATCATGTAAATCAAAGCTAGAATAACTCCTCTCCATTTTAAATGCATAATTTTCGCAAAATATTAGTCTTCTTGGAATATATTGCACATGCGCAATCACCGTTTCAGGCGTGCAGTACGGACTGAAAAGATATTAGATAATATAGCTTTCTGGAGGCGAGAGAGACGTGATACTGACAGAACGCGGCCGGGGAGATAGCTGAGTGGAGTAGAAGAAGAAGGAGAATGATCGACGCACAATGGAGGCAAAGACGAGGACGGGGAGGGGTGAAGTGGGAGTTTTCCACCCTTTAAGCTAGGGCGCTCTCCCATTTATAAAGACAAGTCTACAGACAATAATTTATCAGAGAAATCCATGCTCAGATACCCCATAACCATATTAAATGCATATTCGTTACAAAATATAACTCATTTGGTGAGATATTGCGCATGCGCTAATGCACTACCATAGTCAAATTGTGTACTATAACTGATATATGCACGGACGTGTTCAGATTACCTGCGTATTTATTTATGTCTCATGCAATGAAACTAATAAAATCAGTACAATAAAATCAGACCGATGTCTATGACAAGCAGAAGACGCTACGAACTGTAGCTGCTCTTCCATAATTTCTTGACAGTTCTATAATTTAGGAGATGAGACACAGTTTTCGGACTTTGCCCTCCATGTCAAAGAGCGCAAGTATATACTTTTCTAAGAACATCTTACTAATAAATAAACCACCCGTACGATATAATTGAATGAAATGATTAATTTTGTTCTTTGGTTATTAAATTAAATATACGTTTATCAGTGTTCATTATATTTCTATGCACTTTTCCATGCTATAGAGTGAATATGCATTAACGAGGACATAAATTTTGCATTTTCTTTCTTTCCCTTTTTTATTTTAGCGTTCATGCTTTTACACACACAAACTCCATCTACACATTGTCGCTATTATGATATAGCACGTGCTAAACATATACAGGCAAACTTCCTGATAGTGCGCTATTGAGGCAACGCTTCCTAAGTAATGTACCAAGTCTAAATTCAAATGCCGATTAACACCGATTTATATTTACTAAATATTCTATGGCAATTTGGTGGTGGCACAATCCTTCTCAGACCGCCCAAGTCTATGTGTTCATCGAGTGCGTTCACAAACACGTTTCCCGTGTAAATCTTATGGTAACACGGGCGTTCTGATATTCAAACAAAGGCTTAACTCACCATAGGATTTGGTTTTCAATCCGCAGACCAGCCCACGGCGTAACCTAACTCTCACGCTACAGTCTAACGCATCGTTCATCTAGGACGGCTTCCGGATTATAAAAGAGGGACTTTCGAAAACGTTTTTTCCGGATGTAAACCTTCTCATGCACATGATCTAAAATTCAAATGACGATATATTAATCAATGATTTTCTGGATCAAGAGAAACGCCACAGGCGCAGTTAGTCTCGTTCCATCACTACCAATACTCCTCATTTAAGTACGTAGACTAGTAAAAAGTGGGTGTGGTGAGTTCATGTTAAGCTACTCTGGAATGACAACACTCTGTATTAAGAATCCCAGCTCTCGATTTGAAAATAATAGCTGTTTAGATATATTAGCAAACATTGCAGTATTTTGTTTGTTTGGTGGGCTGCGAGATCGGTTTGCGAATGCCTAGTATACGTCATGATCAGGAGGAATATTATTTTGTTAAAATTATAATTTTAAAGTAGAAAGGGGATGTTCTAGAGTAGCTCGACATGTTAAATATTTATCATAGAGACTGATTAAAATAAGAGGATGCCAACGCAGAATATGCGCGCTAGATTCGTTCTCAATGTAATCTCTATATATATGAATACTTGTCCACACCGCTAGATAGTTGCATTAAAATCAGACGTTGTGATGGGAATTTCTTTCATTCTTTCTTTCTCTTTCTCTCTCTCTGTCCCTCTCTCCCTCTCTCTTTATTTATCTTTTGTTCTCTTTCATTCATTCTCAATCTTTCTCTCTCTCTCTCTTTCTCGCACGCGCGTTCCTCTTTCTTTCTCTTGGCCTAGTTCTCATTTTACAAACAGAATTTTATGTAAGAGATTCATGCATGTGCGATCACACTCATTGGCTTAATCACACGTGCCGCTAATTTGACATTGAGGGTACGTACTATGGTTTGCCAGACACAGTAAAGAATAGACCCTGATTTGTGCTGAGTTCGTGTAGCTGTTTATAAGACTATGGTACTGGTTCTATTTTTGTATAGATCAGGATGTTTAACCATACTGAATTGTGTTTTAACATATGATAGAAATCCAGGTAGATACCACTGCTCCTATGGTGCAGTAGTCTTCCTTGGCGTGTTTTTTGTAAAGAACATGATCTAGATGCTGACAAATATGCACAAAAACAAGTTATAAAGGCGTCACAGCGGTGTCATTTTTCTTATCCCATTAAGGATTAATTATTATACTGATATTCCGTTCGTGCGAGCTTCTATAAATCACAGGGGTACATTGTGTCTCTGATTGCTCAATCTCGTGAGTCTATATATTCTCTTTCAATTGAAACGGATGGAGTAGTGTTCGTGTGTGAAGTCCCTGTAGTCCTTGCGTGCGCTGTGACCATGAGCAACGAGCAGGTAGGCAGCTGCTGCCACCTTTAGAAAAAAACATGATCGACCAACAAAATCGCCAAACGAAGCAAGTT